TGGCTGCCAGCTGGAAATATTCTGCTGATTAAGATTCAACCTAAATCTAAAAATATGGAACAAACTCCTCCTTGTTAGGAATTGCTTCATGATTTCTTATCAAGTTGCCAACCTTTACCTGTGTTGTAGTTATTACTGCATTTATTATGTTGAAGTTATTAAAGTATTACTGACGGAATTCTGAAAGAATGTGTCTTTCCATAATCTTATCCTCTTAATAATCCTACTTGGTTTCTTAAAAAAGTATATATTTTGGAGCAGGAGCAGCTGAGGTTGGGCTTTATAAAGGCCCAAATACTGCTGTAGGTTGGTACCCAATTGGGTTCAGTCATGAGGAAAGATCATCTCTAATTATTTCTCCCACCTGAGGAGGTTTTGCAAGCTGAGTATTTCTTGATGTGAAAACCAGAGAATTCAAGCATACAGGGACCTTCTGAAAAGCCTGTACTGCCTCAGTTTTCACCTTTATTTTAGCAATATTTGTTAGTTTCTTTGACTTGTAAAATCCCAGTCATGAAAGTCGGTTTTAAATTGCGAGAGATGAACAAATTCATTTACTTTTTGTCACTACTTAGATAATTTTCTAAGTTAACATGAAAGTGTTGAGAAAATAAAAGCAACCTACACACATAGAACTTAAAGAGAGCATATCTGACTTTATCTTTAGTTCTTATTATAGTTACATACATTAAGCACAGTGATTACAGTATTCTTGTGGAAGTGCATTTGGCAGCACCCATATGCACATTTTCAATACAATAACATTGCGAGTCTTAAAGGAATGCCTACATCATATGACATACCATGTCTCACTACACTGGCCTCTTCACCACTTTATACCCCTGTGTCTAGGTGACCACTTGATTTCAACAGTTCATTAAAGAGCCCATTACTGGCTCTTGAAGATGCTGCGAGGCAAAGCAGGTGTGTTCAGCACACTGTTGAGAAGCAGGGAATTAGCTTATTGGCTTCATTCAGACTCTAACTTGTACATGCAGAGCCTAACTTGTAGCTGATTCTACCAGCAAAGTGTAACAAAAGACATCACATACAAGTGTTTCTGACTCGTTCTTGCAGTAGCATTATAGAAGTTACCACTCCATACTGGACAAGCTTCTGTAGGCTCTCCAGTAATTTCTCTGTTTCTCACTCCAAGCTTGTTCTGGACTTCTGCATGTAACTGTTTTTCCTCTAGTATTCAAAGCACATTGTTTTATTTTAGGTGGCAGAAGGGGGGACAGGAGAGGCACTAACCTGATTTTAAGTTTCTTCTTCCTGCTACCAGAGACCCATCACAGTGCTTCACAGACTGCAGTGTGTGCACAGGACATGTCCCTTGATAGCTATTTCTTCAAAAAGGATAATGAAAACCAACATTTGAACAACTGACTCAGTCCCAGCATGTTGTTTTCAAGTTCCCTGTGGAGTTTGAGCAAGGTCAGGCTCGGAAGTCTGACGTAAGGGCCCAGGCTGCCTAAGAAAACAGCTTAGATACCGTATCGCTCTTATGAATGCAATTACAAAGGATAGAAATTGCTCTTGCAATTATCAGAAGCCACTGAATCCAAGGTATAGAGAGCATCTAAAATGGGGATAGAATTCCTGTCCAGAACCCGAGAACCAGACAAGAAATGTCATAAACAAGAGGCCAGTTCTGCCAGTCTTGAATTCTCTGTTGCACTGTGGTACAGCTTCCAAGGAGAGGGAAATGTGTCACCATGCAGTTCATATGTGAGTGAGAGGTAGGTGGTGTAACTTTTATTCACTTTTGCCAGGAACAGAACTGAACCTTGGCTATGATATATTATTATAATACTATATACTGCCATAACAACTGTATAACCATCGTATTATGAAAAAGTAGAGGATTGCCTCTTCCAGCTCAATTTTAGAAAGAAAACAAACATAAACTTTCTCAGAAAAGCGCAGTCCTGCCAGTATGTCAAGAGTGATTTGAGCACATCTACGGGATCAGGCCCCTCAGAGGATATGGCAGACAGGAAAACCGAATATGCCTCACCCTTAGATGGGCGATAAGATGAAAATTGCTCAGATCAAGGCAGTTCTATACATGCACAGGAGCTTAGTTCAGCATTTACTGAGCTTTAGAATGATGGCAGAACACACCTTCTGAGCCAGCTGTAGGCAACACCCGAAGAAAAGGCATTTTAGGTGGTAAGCTGAAATAGGCACCTGTGTCATCAAACTTAATTGCAGATATCATCTCTGTTTCTGGCTAATTGTCTCTTAAGTAGATATACATTATATATATACATTGTAATTTCCTCCACATCAGGTAAGAAACAAGTTGGCCACCAATCATTTATTTAAGAGTTTATGCAATAACACTGAAGAACTCTAGCAATTTTTAGCAGGGGTGGGTGATAAGAGGAATCAATGAACAAGTCTTTTATGGGAATCATTTGGAGGAGAGAGGGTAGGTGCTATGCTGTGTTCCTGCCACACAGAGCAAGACATCAGTAGAAAAGGGAGTTCTTCCCATATCTAAATTCTTTCAGCCAGCTTCCACCCAAACCATCTCATCCAATTGTCTCCCTAAATCTAGACCCTGGGTGGTCAAGCATTAGAACAGGCTGACCAGGGAAGTGGTGGAGTCATCATCCCTGGATGTGTTCAAAAAACGTGTAGAGGTGACACGTCAGGACATGGTTTAGTGGGCATGGTGGTGTTGGGTTGATGGTTGGACTTGATAAGTTTTGTGGTCTTTTTCAACCTTAGTGATTTTATGATTCTGTGAAGAACAAAAGAAAAGGTACAAATGTAGGAGGGGTAACGTAATCATATACACCATCCTTCATCACGAAATAAGCTTTGTTCAGCCAACCTTATTATTATCCACAAATCTTCATAATCCTTTTCCATCTGTGTAAGTATATCTGCTGTGCCTTCATTGATGTTACTTAGCCTTACAAACAGCCACCAAGTCAGCATCCTTCAAATCTTTCAGAGAACTTATGGAGTAGAAAGCCTTGAGTCTGTCTAATCATGAGGAAGTGAGAAATATTCATGAGTTGAAGGTGAGAAAGAGATCGATGGAAACCCATTTGGAAAAGAGTTAAAGGAGGCAATGATAAAAATTATCCAAGAGAAGAGTGAGAGAAAAGCAGAGATGTAAAAAGGAAAATGCTGAGTTATGCAATATGAGAAAAAGAAAGTAAGTAGAAGAAGAAATAACAGATTTGTGTCATTCTTCCTCCTTTCACTATAAAAGGTTGTCTATATTATTTACTAAAAAAGCCTAAACATCATAAAGTATATGAAGTATTTGATGATGGAGGGAGGGAGACACTCAAAGTGTCCATTAGCAATTTGAGAGAGAAGCTTGTTGTGAGAAGTGACCCATCTTAGTCAGTCAGAAGAGAAGAATTTCCAGTTGTTACTAATTAGGGCCAGACTGTTAGAAACTTCCGTACCAGTGCAAATGCACAATGAAGTGGCTTGCCAACTTCTCACCAAGTGTTACCCTGACCCCTTGAAGTTTCTGAACCATGTTAGAATTTAACAAATGTAAACCAGCTTAATTGTTAATAACCTTTATGAAATAAAGAAATTAATATTCACACAGAGCAGCCTGTTGAACCAATTAAAGAGACAGAAACATTTTAATTAAAATGAGGTTGCAGAAAGACAGACTCAATAAATTACTATGTTCAAATGTGTAGAATGTTAATTAAACCCAACAAATAATCAGTTTAATTTATGAGACTGACATCAGAAACACAGACATTCTGTGTCCATCTTGTATTTACAGGACTTCAGTGGGACTCAGGATATAACCAGTAGAGGTTTCAAGTCTCATCAGTAAAAAAGTGTGGGAATCCTTATTATTTCTATTACCTTCACCAGGACACCTGTTTAAAAACATCTTCATGTATTACCGAACAGAGCATGCAGTGAAATCCCTGCATTCATCTTAAGACAGTACTCACATAAATACTTACAAAATGTTACTACTGTTGTACAGAATTGTGGGTGTCACCGTTCTGACAGATCTTGGATTTGGGAACACCGAATTGTTCTAGGTATTAGTTAGAAGGGATTTTCAAATTACATCCAGAATAGTTTTTTAACAACTACTTTTGTAATTAGAATTCTTTCAATTACATGTCAGATATTATTAAGAAATGTAGATGCCCACAGGTCCTTGGAGTCATGAGGAAGTAAGCATTTAGAGAAAAATTAATATATATAAAACTCAATAAAAGCAAGAGTACCCTAAATACCCCTGCAATCTGTACCTACCCCTCAGTACCTAGGCTCCTCGGTCTTATTCAAAGCTGGTCTACATCAGAAAACTAATCAGACAGCACAGTCCCCACTCAATTACAATATATGCATGTATTTATGCATACAGATAATATGTGCTATAACGACTCTTAGGAGTCTATTCAAATGAGCTATTACAAGTATAAAATATAGCATCCAGTTATCTGCCTCCCTATGCAATCCATGAACAGTACCATATACAACACCTAACTTTTTACCAGGGCTTGTAGCGATAGGGCAAGAGGCAACAGTTTTAAACTGAAAGTGTGTGGATTTAGATTAAATATAAGGAAGAAATTCTTTACTGTGAGAGTGGTGAGACACTCTAACAGGTTGCCCAGAGTGGCTATGCCTATGAAGAATTGTCTATGAATCTATGAAGAATTTTCTTTCCAACTTTTTCCATAAGCAATGAGCTGGTGCCTCCAATGAAGTAAACTGTTCAAGCTGATTCAAGAGCTACTTCTTCCCAGTTTAAAGGCCTAGTTCATCATGGCTTTAAATTCTGAGACTGAGAGCAGGAAAAATAGAGGTTTATGGTTGGGGACAAGAAAAAAAATATCTTTAAGCCACTTTCCCACCCTTTCTTACTGAAATTAGCTTTGCCCAGCTCCTGAGTTTCTATGCCAGAAGGCACACACACACTGACGGTCTGTGCTGACTCTTTGCAGCAGCTGACTGGTGAAGAGGCTCCCTTTGAGAGTTGCCAGTTTCTATCCATGCAGATATGCTTCAAGCCAGTGCTCCCCAGAATCCTTCAGTGAACTGCAAGAACAGAAAGTAAAAATAAAAATCACTTATGAGGAGACAATATTCAACTTCATTGGAAGCAAACTGCAGTTTAGTTGTAGAAGGAAGTAAATAGCAAAAATGGATTAAAAGCAGCATGGAATGAATTGAGAGAATTTAAGGAAGATAAAATAATCTTTAAACTTTACAGATTTTTGAAAATTAAAAGGCCCTTTAGAAAAACCTAAATAAACTCTAGGTTTGATCTCTCCATGGATATTGATTTGAAATGGTTGCCCATGCTCCTCCCTTGCATGCTATTACAGTGCAAAACTATCTTGTTAACTGATACTTACTGCAAAATGTCTAAAAAGGCTGTCAGCAAAGTCTTGCTTTTATACTCAATGCCGTGCTTATCACAAAGGGCTTTCACCAGAGGAGCAGCTTTCCAGTAGTTGTGTCGAGGCATTGTGGGGAAAAGGCTGCAGAATTGAATGAGAGAGAGTGATTGTAAGACTTTGCTTGCACCACAGTCTTCGCTCTGTCCAAAATATTCCCTTGTCCTCCCCTAGAAGGAGAGCAAAGGGTCTCCTGAATGCTTTCATGTAAGACTACATGGTGTTTCTCAGTTGAAATGCCCCATACTATTCCCACTCTTCTCCACATAATGATACTCACTGGTGCTCAATTTGGAAGTTCAAGTGCCCAGTGAACCAGTCATTGAACAAAGATTGCTTCACATTGCATGTTGCATGGATCTGGGAGGAAAAAAAAAACCACCAAAGAAATGCATTATTTAGCTTTTGGTTTTCTGTAAGCCTGATAATCGAACGCCAGCAATCATTACCCACCCTCATCTGCTATAAAAGGTGACTTAGTGTCAGGGATTATAGCTCTATTTGTCTATTTTAGAGTAAGATGAATCATGCTCTACAAATCTATTTCTCTCTCTTTCTCTCCAGTGAATGTAGCAGGTGTTTGGATGTAGACATCCAGATTTGGTCAGATGAATACCAGGTTGGGTCTTTTCCTCTTAATATAAGGAAAAATGCTCAGAACCTACTATGTGGGATTGTGCTGCTGGAGACAGTAGAGATGTGAGTAAAGTTGTCTTTACATACTCATTTTTTATGAGACCTAAATTTTGTCAGATTTATCTTATCTGCGGTAAACTTGTAACCAGTAGGGTAAAATAAAGGCCTCTGGACCCACTTTGCTTCTCTTTAGTTGGCCTAAAAAGGAGACTGACTGTTACACGATTAGTACTTTTCCATAACAGGAAGGGAAAAGGAAAAATATGTCAAAATCTTTCAGTGAAAAAACAGGATTTTTAAAAAATCTAGATGTCTCATTTTCCAGCTAAAGTTTTAAAAGTTTTAACTACTGCAGAAATGCATACCTATTTAATGAACGCCAAGGACAAACCTCATTAGCACAGCATTAAAGCTAACAGAATAACAACATTGTCTTTCTCCTGTAATTCAGAAGTGCAGACCCACTCTTTCAGATGACAGGAGAGTCTCACCTGAGTAGAGACCCAGTCTTTGTTCTTATCGTAATCAATGTCCATGGGAATGTGATTCATCTGTGAGACCCAAATAAACCAGGTGCTCTCTAGGTACCTGGGCAGAAAAACACAGAAACACTTATCAGATCTCTAATGCCATTCAAATTTACCATTAAAACACTTTCCTGAGTCTCATCTTCAGCAAAAAAAGCACTTTTACGTAACTCTGGATTTTCTATTCCATTGCTTTATCTCCTAACTTTTGGAGTTTCTTTTAAGAACCACTACATTTGTGGTTGCAGACATCCCTGAGCAGCCACCACCTCTCCCCCTCCAAGTTATGCTGTCCCTTCTTGGCTGACTATTTATTTCTGAGAAAAATGTAGTGAGTTTTCATTTATTACCACTGAAGCTCAGTATTAGTCATGGGGACTCTGGGTATGCTCTGTGTTACCTGGACAGCCAGTAGTACACCATGAAATTGTTAAATCCCATTAAAGGAATATACATGAGACAGACTCGGATGTTGAAAGACACAATCAATATGAGGTCCTGTTAAAAAAAAAATAAAGGTAAAAAATAAATTAATATAGGCTTTTGTTGCTAAGCTCCCTCCTCTCCCTCCTGTCCACTTTACTTGAACTGCAGCATAAAAAATACTGTTCCTGTGATATCTTGTTTATCAAGAGTAAGCTTCACACCATCATTCTGTCTCAAGTTGAGTGTATCGCTGAAATATTCCCACAGCACTCACTTTACCATCAGTAACTGAAGACCAGGAAACAGCCCTGTAGCCACAATTTGTCTAGGTCTGATAGTTTTCTGATAACTTTTATTCAGCTGCTAAGAGGCTAAAAAGACTCTCCTAAAAAAATTCTCCCTGAACCCATTGACTGCATTTCTGCTGCACTGAGCCTAGAATCAGCCTTTTCTACCCTAAACCCCACAGTCACCTGAGGGGAAGGTTAATGTGGCCACAGAGTGGTGACATTTTTTGAAAGTCTTCTAGACAATGCAAGTAGTGCTTACCAACCACTTTTTCCTCTTGATTGCAAAGTAGATTATAGACAGCTGGAAGAAGGGTACAAGTGCAAGTGGGGCCAATACTGAAAGGAAGAATGAAAACAGACATATTTATAATTTCACTGCATCATAAAATCTTACAGAATGTTCTTCTGTAAGAAAATTCTCCTTTCCAGTGGAAGAAAAATGGCTGTCTCCCATTTATGCTAGCTTGCACGTGTCCACAGAATCTATTCCTCTTTTCATCTCACCACTTCTTCATTTTTTTCCCATCCCTTTCTTCCTCACACTTGGTTCACCTTTATCTAGTACCTAACATCACATAGTTCTAACAGAAACATAAGGGGCAATTCCTCCCAACGTGAACCTTCTCTAACATGAAAGAAGCTTCCTGAAGCTGTGACTTCACTGGGAGCATCATTAAAAACGTTGTTTTGGGGAGGAGATGCAGCCATGATTTTTAGGTGAAGTTCTTGAAGCACTGCAAGGAAGAGGGGATACTCACCGATGAAATACTTATGCTGATAATTGTAAGGCATGAACTTCTTCTTCTTTTTCCCAAGCTGAAAAATGACATTGAAAAAAGACATTGTAATGGGTCAGTTGGAGACCTCAGACCTTTCACAACACATTTCTTATTCCTGTCTAAGGAACACATTGATAAGTACACCTTAATCTATCTAATTCAATCCCTCTTCTTGAAAAGCAGGTACTGAAGTTTCAAAGTAATGGAGAGAGGCAGATTTCATGTGAGCCTCTGTATCCAGATATCAACTTTATGCCAATGTTAGCACAGAGTCATTTTTAGGAGAGTTCCAAAACTCTTGGCAGGATACAAAAATGCTCAAAAATCACAAGCCATCTGAATTTTCTTGAATGTTGAAGTTTGGATTTGAAGAAAGTCCAATCTAACCAGTTCTATGTATTCACCACAGAGTGCTGAGACTACCAATGCTCAAGGAGGAGCAGATTATTAACATGAAAATTAAGGCAAGTACCCAAGCTTGATTGGTGACAAATGCAGGATGTGCTTGCTGTGAGTTACATCTGAATTTTGATGTCACATGAGATAGGACACAGCCATCACGAATTTCCGAGTAATAGAGGAGATAGCTGCCAGAAATTACACAAACATTTGGGTGCTGTTCTAAAATGACTTCAAGATTGAAGTAGTAAATACTCTATAAAGACATCTGCCTTTTTGTTTTGTTGAATATTTTGCCTTCAGGTACATGAAATGGCAAAGAGATGAAATATTTACAAAAAGCACAGTAAGTTTATTTCCTCACAGTGTATTGTTTCACTATTTGCACAAAAGTATTCTCAACATGATCTGCAGATTTTGTGCTTATGATTCTTCAAAGGACAGAATAATGAGGTAAAGCAAACTATTTCCAGAGCTCCCCTATTACTGAGGAAAAAAAAATTGAACACCTCAAACATGTCTTCACTGAATCAAACTCGAAACAAAACAAATGAACTGGACTAAAAGAAATTACTGAAATCCATTTTGCCTATCCACAGTGTGCCTGACTCTTTTCTGTTAAAAAGAGTCAGAAAGACATGAAAACTTATTTCCTATATTTTCACTTCCATCAAACCAAATCCAGCACAGCCAGCCCACACTAGATGTTCACACTAGTCTATAACCATGAGAGATCTTTCAGAACACCACTGACAAAATCCTTCCCAGTTGCATCTGTAAGTTTTCTATGAGTAGGTATTTTGTATTAACTCCCTTTACGGGAGTCTTTCTGAGACAGCAGAACTGGAATTTTCCACAGGTCTGGGAAAGCTGTAATTTCTCTGTTTATTACCAGCTAAAGGAGAGTGAGATGTTATTTGAAGAGGCTGGTTATCTAGCAGAGGCCATTTCATCACCCCATGTGTAAACAGAATTGCCAGGGAAAGAAAAGGCAAAGAAGACCTTGCCTATCCTGATGATATCAGAAATAATAAGGGTGCAGGGAAGGTCTATTCATGTTTTTTATTTTTATGAAAGCAATAAAATTTATGGTCAAAAACTAATTTGCTGCACTTGTGTTTTGTGCATAGCAGCTATATTGGTCCTGAAGGATTTAGGTGCCAAACCACTCCAACAGTCAAAAAGACCCAGAAGGAACAGCTGACTTACTATCTACAGGATCACTGACAACATCTTACACTAATGCCAGTGGACTGACTCATTCTTTGAGCTGCCTTCAAGGTGGTTACTCTGCTCCTCTAGAAACACAGAGAACTTAAGCATTGATTTTAAGACTTTGCTTCTCAGGAGCTGGTGCCTAAGCATCATCATAACCAGGCAGTACAAGAGGCTCTCAGACCTTGGAACACTTTGGGAATTGTCATGAGTTTGTGCAGAAAGGCCCAATCTGGGTTATTACTACACCTCAGTCTGTAGCTTTCTGTCATGAAAATCTTCGCTTCTCCAGACATGCCCCATGCTCACCTCCACAGAGAGTGTCTTTCCCAGGCTGAACAGGAGAGGATGCATGTTGAGGTCAGGGTCTTTGCGGAAGCAGTTGGGTTTGGCATGGTGCTGGTTGTGCAGGTGATTCCACCAGCTGGCGGATAACCCCTGCCAGAAAAATTCAAGACCCAAACAACGTCAACAATTGCATCAATATGTATCCACCTAGTATTGATGGCTGCACTACACTTCCCTCACAGGCAATATTGACTCAGTGTAGGGACACTCCCACTCACTGCTCAGTCCGGACTAGCCCCAGAGAATATTCCCACCAGAAGGCAGTTACCTTCAGAACATTTATCACAACAATCTGCAGAAGTCGATTCCATTTAGGCTTCCTGAAGACAGAGCAGTGCCCCAGATCATGTTGAAACCAGCCCATCTGGATCTGGAAGACAAAATGTTCACTGAGAAAACAGTATCACAGCGGCATTGCATTAATTTGCCTTGTGAGTCTCTGTAACTTCATAGTGTGAGTGCATCTTCCTTCTGATCTGGGGAAGAAACACTGCCTGCTGTCTCACATGCTCAATGCTGAGAACTTTCTTCCAGGCTGCTGCCCACTAAAGCTTCTTAATACCAGATATTGATTTTATTGTAGCAGCTAAAGGGAAAGCAGCAAAGCATCTCTACGATCAAATTGACAATTACAGCATGGAAGTCTTTTGCTCTCACCACAAATATATAATTTCCAAGTAACTAGCTAGCTAGTGTAAGGATTCCCAAATTCATAGCTTCATTGTATTTCATATTCCCATGGAAATACAAGAATGCTCTTTAAGGAATATCTGCCTTAGCAGATATCAGGCAAATAGAACAGATTATTTTAAAAAATAAGTTACTTTGCCCTTGTTCCATGGATGTCTGAGCAAACCTAAGGTTTCACTGTCTCTAAGAAAATCTTGCTTTCTTCCTCCTCTCACCCTCCAATTTCTCCCATCTAAGAGCCACAATCATGCCTTTCTATGATTCATTTTACTAATCTGGCAGAAAACTATTCAGGGCTAGTGAGTGTGGTTGGCTCATAAAGGACCCAACAACACCAGAGCCATCCGGCAGTACACTGAAGGAACATGGAGCCAAAAGTGGAGCTGAGAACGAAATATTCCCTCTTTTGCTGGGGTAAGTGATTAGATCAGCTCATCCCATCTTGTGAAACTAGCAGCTCCACAACACTCCATTAACACTAGCAAGCAGCTTATCAGCAAAATGAGATTTGCTGAAGGCAACAAATATTGTGACATGGAACCACCTTGTTGTCTTCAGCCAGATATCAGGATCTAAGAAGATGGTCTGGGATACAAGCATCTCATCAATCCTCTCCATCTGAGAGAACCAAACATGTCTGCAGTATTGAACTGCTGACAGCAGTTTACCTGAGCAATGGTGAAGAACGCCATGCCAACCAGGAAAGGCACTAAGGATATCCCGAAGTACCAGACCACAAGCCAGGATGCAGCATCCAGTACCAGAAGGTGAAGGAAAATCAAGAAGAAAAAAATATAATTTGGCCTCAGAAGTCCCATCTTCTCAATAGTGTAGCGCAGATCACGAAAATCCTCCAAAAGTGATTTCTGTGGGAAAAGTGAGCATTAGTGCACTGTCGACTTTGAAAATGTAACACAGCAGATCCAGGAATCCCAAAGTAGCCATGGACTCAGTGGATGTTTTCTGTCAGAGGGGTCTCTGTGCAAAAAAAGCACCTGAGATCAACAGACCTTAGTTTTGCTTTCACACTGGAAAACAAGTTGCCGACAGGTTCTGTTACTGAAACATCACGGGGAGAAGAAATGAGCAGAATTTGGGGCTCTGGAGCTCATTCCACACACCCAGGTGTGGACTTAGTGATTCTGGGGCAGTGCATGTTTCCATGCATGGTAAGTGCCAGCTGCCTCCTCACCACCCAGACTATGGCACAGTGTCAGGCATGCTACTTCAGAAATTATTTCTTATTTTCCTTCCCCTCCCATCCTGAACCACAAACCATTCCCACTGCTGGGTTCTAGGACACTCACTTTTTTATTAGACTCAAAGCTGGGTTGATCTGGTGCCAACTCCCCAATCAGCAGAGATTTCAAGTATTTTTTCACCAAAGACTTATCATTGTGAAATGCTACAAAGGCATCCTGAGAAAGACAGAAAGGAAGCAGGGTAAGAAAGAGTATGTGAGTAAGTACCAGGTGCTGAGCATCTTCTTTTTCTAGGTCTTTGATATAATATATAATCCAGTTTCTTCTGTCTGTTTTTGTCCCTTTGGTTGCTCCTGTAGTTATTTCCCATCAGCTGGAGCTTGGCCCAAGGAAGCTGGAGAAGTTTCAAGAAACAAGATTTCATAAAAGTACCTGGGCGAGGCTGGTAATAAACATGAAAGTGTTTGATGAAAAGCTCTTTGCAGAAGGGAACATGCTCTTTGATCTGCTTATTTCAGCGCAGTCCTTCCCTAGAATGCTCCAGCCAGCAGCCCTGCCCCATGGATGGAACCCAGAAGCAGAAAAACATGCCAATGAATGAGGTGTGTCTTTGCCATGCTTGGGATGATGTTTTTAAAATCCTATCTCTATTACGCTAGAGTCATGGGAAATAAATGCTGAAGCTTCATGCACAACAGGACTAACTGGGTATGATTTACAGTTCCCTGTAAGTCTGCAGACTGTGTAACACCGGTGACACAAATGGGTCTGTCCAAGAACCATTTGAAATACCAGTTGCAAAATCAAGTATGAACTATGGAATAAAGAATGAAATTCCAGATAAACCAAAACTCTTCTTTAGCTCATGTTCTCAGTGAATTTTCCAGAAGAAAGGTAAAGAGGCTGACCATACTCTTTTGTAGAGTAGATATAACAAAATCCTCTGTGTCTGAGCAGCCAGGTACTTGCTGATTTTGGCTCTGCAAGTCAATGTGGGCGATCATGGCACAAAAGAATTGTGTACATGTCTGGTCAGGATTAAGTCCCTCAGAGAGGACAAAGGACTTCCCGTGTCCAGTCTGATGCTCCTTTTGAGTCTCTTGTTTAGGCACAGTCTACCTCTGAAGTACTTTGCTCTAGAATTAGAGTAAGGTGGCTCTTTGGACAGATGAGCTTTCTACAAATACCTAGTTACCCTTTGTCCCGGTGACACATCAATAACTCTATCCAGACCCTGGGGACAAGGGAAATGTTTCCATTTTGATTCTGTGCCTCTCATCCTACAGGGGTTTATACACTTTTATGCAGCTCCCTCTTGCCAGGAATTCTAAAACTGAGTCAAGCTGTAGGTATCTGTATTGCAGCTTAGAAACAGGAGACAGAAGTCTTTCAAGCGGAATTTCCTATCTACAATACCAGTATCACAGATTCTCATCACAGAAATGCAAGTCTTTCAGTCCTGTAGCCTGTTCTTTCTCCTACTCCCTGCTCTTAGGCCCTGATTAACTTTAGGTGTATCACCTGCCATGCATCTGACCTCCAACATTTGACATTAATGTAATGTTCTGCAAAGCATATTGTCTATATTTACAAAGTAATGCATACAGAGGAAGAAAATTCTCACAACATACATATGATTATGAGCTCTTGGGGAAGATAATTCTCACCATATGTACATAATTATGAGCTCCAGAGTAGTCAAGGATACTTGGAAAAAATCCTGGATCCTAGCTTTAGGCAAAGTCATCCACAGGACGATCTTTTGAGACAACTTCCAGCCCTGCTTTTCTGTGAAAGTGTGTATTTCTCAGAATATACGAACATAGCAGCATTTTACAAGCAAAACTAATGATAAAATAGTAGAATAAAAAAATCGAGAGCAAGATAGAAGAATGACATTATGATGCAACATAAATCCACAGTGTACCCACACTCTTGACTACTGTGTTTAGTTCTGGTCCTTCTGTCTTCAAAGGGATGTAGTACAACTATATATAGCAATAAAAAAATTATTAATAGAGTTCTGGATCAGTTTTCATTCAGAAGATTGCCTTGGAAAAGAGATAACAGAGAATGAAATTATTAGGAAGTAGGTCTAAAATGTACAAAGGTAATAATGAGGCTTAATGAGGAAAACCAGATTGTAATATTATTGTAATAAGAAATGCAGCTAAGATCAAAGGTCATTCTTTAAACTCATTCATACCCGACAAATTCACTGCTGTTAAAACCCCCGAGTTTCTATAAACCATAATAATCTAAATGCACCAGTGGCTGCAGAAGCTGGGAGAACATAGCTTGGGGATAAATCACTCCATGCATTCTGTACTCCTTGACTCCTTCTGTGAAAGTCCAGTAACAGAAACCACAGGAGGTGGCAGCAGGCTGCTGGGACCTCTGGGATGCCTTGGTGTGGTGGGCAGGATTAGTGCCCCTTCTTCAAGCAGCTCCTGATGCAGCACTGTTTGCAATCTCGTCACGTTATGCAGGTGCTGCATAATGGACACATAACTCTCTCTTTAAATCAGGTCTACACCTGCCAGCCAGTGAGCTAGAGAATCACAGAATGGTTTGGACCAGAAGGTACCTTGAAGATCATCTAGTTCAAACCCTCCTACCGTGGGCAGAAAAAAACCAACAAGACTCAGAAGCCTTCTTTTTCTTCATTTTAGAACACTACATATCTTTCTGCCTCAGTTTTAAATAGGGTGAGAGGAATGAAAAGTGCAAAATGACTGATCTGATCCATTTTGGGCCATGAGTTAAGAAGTGCCAGCCCATTTTACAAACTGAAACCTGGGAATCAGACAGGCTAAGCAAGTTCCTTGAAGTCAAAAAGTCTTGTCGCGACATGAATTAAATCTGTGTCTTCCACATCACAAGTTTATGCGCATTTCCCACATCACGCTTCTAATATACGTGTCTAACTCTTCAGAAATTCAGTATCTGTTTTCAGCAAATAGTCTATATGAGGTCTGCTTGGAATTATTATAGCTGTCAACAAGGAACACATTATTTTAGAGAAAACCTCTAAATCAAAGCATTTTGCAGGGATCTCTGGAAAATCTGTTTTCAAATAGTGATTATTTGTAGAGTTTTTCCTCATCTTCTGCAGCCAAGTGTCATTCTGCTGCTTTCTCAGTCATTTTTCCTGTTTTATTTTCCCCTCTCCTTTGGAATAGTCTTTTTGCTCCAGACTTTTCTCCTCCACTTGTCTGTACAAAATAGCATCACTCCCTTGAGTACCCTCCAAGTTTGCTTCACTGCCCTCAAAATTACTTTGTTTGGATAATACCTTCTCCTTATCTATCTTCTCCATCTACGTACCCTTGCTCTATCTTTATAATTTTCTTATTACTGGTCACATCCATGTGGCGTTGAAAAAGCAGCCTTTACAGTAAAAATATGCATAGAGTATATTGCTTTCTACCCTATTCCCTTCTCACTGCTACAATAGAGACACTTTCCAGGCACCTGGAAGACAAATTGTCTGATCATGCCTAGTGGCAAGACAACCTGCGTGGATAATGCTGTGCTTACAGCAGGGTGTAATGAACCTAAACAAAGCTTTGCAATTTGCATAGCAGGTAACTCTGACCTAGAAGGTAACCCGAAAGGCATTTTTTTACAGACAGCACAGACATGTCGACTACATTATCTAACCAAACACAGTGCCAACTACCATGAGTGCACTCCACTGGAGTCCCACCATATCGTCCTGCCCTGACAAGGGAACCATCCTCTTCCACTGTCCTCCTAGATCTTACCGTAGCATCTTGCCCAGCATAGTGGCTAATAACTCGGCTGCCTCCAGGGTGTTTTTTGGAAAATGTGGTGATGTCGTAAACCTTCCTGTCAATCACCAGCCACTGCTCTCGGCCTTGGCCATGGCCATTGTGGATTCTGATCTCTTCCCAAGTGAAAAGCTGTAGAAAGGCTGAAACTGGTCGCGTCTCCTTTTCGGTGGAGCCAGTCTGTGGAGCCATCTGTACTGGTAGATGTGCAGTCAGCACCGAGATTCACTAGACTAAGCTTTGCAGCACTGTGTCCAGGCAATGAACCATCTCAGTCTGCCCATTATACAGTCCCACTCCAAGCCACTCCCTACACTTCCAGGGCTGGTTGGCTCCCCTTGCCCAAACACACCCTTCCATAGCTCCCTCCTCTTCCACGTTCACACCAGACACACCAGAATAAAAGCCCTGTTCCTTCTTGTCTTTTCTGAGCTGCCTGTGGAAGGTCTGATTACTCATGGGAACTGTAGACTACTTCACTGAATACAAATGTGCATAAAGAGAAAAACTTAGGAAGATTATCTGTTATTCCCATATTAAATGAGATGGCAAAATGACAGAAAGGATTATTAAGCGAGCACCTCCGTAGAGCATTAGGAATTGGATAAAGTAAGCTGTTAACTCACCTCCATACTGCTGAGTCAGTATGTGGATTAGCCAGAAGAGAAATCTGAAGAAGGCTGTGGGCAGCCCTTCTGCAGTAAATATTCAGTGACCTTCTTAGAAAACTGAAGCATTGCCAGCATCCTCTCATCCTTTAAACAGTCATTAATGTCAGGAAATCCTGCATTTGCCATATAGTGGAGCTTTATCATGTCATACAGCACCAAAATGTAAATCTGTAGATGAGTCTGTCTGGAGAGCCAGAAGCTGCTATTAAATGTTTGCTAGCATCTCTCGTTCAATTGTAATTCCTGCCTTCAAGGCATGGACCCAACTTGTACAACAGTGAAAAGAGCAGAATGATCTAAGGTCTGCAATCTCTCTACAAGGTATCTCTAATGGTGTCATTACTACCCAAACTTCAGGTCGTTCTTAGTCTTTGAAATTTTCCATATTGCCCCAACATGCTACATTCACGTGACTTTCTTAACTAAAAGCAACATCGATCAAAATACCACTAGATCAGAGTAAAGAAGGAGCACATTAAGAAAACATTCTTTATCTCCTGTTAATTTAGCTTGCATATTGGCAATGCTTTGCATACAGTTGTTTTCAGAGTTCCCTGTGCATTCCCCAGTCATTCAATAATCTCATTGTTCAAGTAATTCATTCATAAATCAACAACAGACATTAAAAGATTTTGGGGTTGAGAGTAACAGCAAAACAATAACAACAACTGTTAACAGCAAGTTTGGCTGTAAATTGAGGGTTTCTAAAACTACATTTAATGGCACTGTTTACATAATTAATCTTACTTAAATATTAGACTTGTAGTGCCAAAGTCTAAATATCTCTGTTGTTCAGAGAGGATCTGCTATGCTGTAAAGAGGTAGGAGCTCTTAGCTGCAATAAATAGCAAAGAGAAGGCAATGCTGTGTTTCCTATAAAGTCACATTAATTTTGCAGGTGACCCAGAAAAAACTTAAGCCCACATATATGAAATATTACCTTACCTGAGATTTAGGATTCTCTTAATCTTGTATTTTTTTTTTAATCCAGAATTACTAGCCTTGGGTGCTCTTGAGGAAGCTACAAGCAGTAGAGAAGTATGCTATAGTCTGTCCTCATTAGGTTTCCATCCTGTCCCTTTATAATGCAATACTGAGTTAAATCCTGAATCGTGAGTTTTCCACCTTTACCCCAAACTTTTTATTTATGTTTATAAAGGTATTATGTTCGTAACCACAAATATTGTCTGCAACAATGCCCAGTCTCTGCCTGAAACCTAACAAGGTCTCAACTACCTCTTGTACCAGTGAGTTTCACAGACAATTCACATGTTGTAATGCAAAGAAAAGTGGTGGTTGTGGTGAGCTCCCAGTTCTGGGAAAACTCAGCTGTAGTTGCAGACTTCAGGAAGGACAGAAGGGTAAGAAAGCCAGACTATGTTCTTCACCAAGATACCTCAGCAGGGTGAGGTGAAATTCTGGCTGCATTCCCTGTTTCCCAAGCAGATGGCATGCAGGAAGCCTAGGCAAGAGATGATTAAAGCAGAGATGAGCAGATAGATCTCTGTATCATGGGAGAAGTGCCACTTAAATCATATAGAATAACTTAATTTTTAAGAGTTTATCCTTAAGGAGCTCTGGAATGGACTTTACGTGACATCTGTGACACAAGCGACCATGAAGCTTCTCAGCTTACAATTATCCTTCTTAGCAATGTCTTGCAAACACAGTGGCAAATGTAAAATCTTGGGGTTTGTCTTCCTTGTTTTTATCCAGTGAATTAACAGTAGCCCAAGACCAATTGGACAGAGACAGCTGAAATCTCACATAGCAGAGGCACCTGTCTTGCCCTCAGCCCTGCATGGAGTGGGGAACCTTTCTGGCTGACACAGAACTGTAAATTACACAATTCTGATTCTTTAAATCATGTGATATCTTGCAAATTAATCAGTCAAGCCCAAAACAATCACTTACAGTTCCTGACATATGGCAATGGTTGAACCACCCTAGGCAAAAGAGAAATGTGGCTTTTGGTATTCATCAGAAGGCAGTGATAAAAGAATGGGAGGAATAATTTCTACTGTGCCATCATGTTGCATTTTGTAAGCCTTTATCTTGCTCTAAATAAAAGCTAAGAGTGTCCAATCTAATTATGTGTTCATGTCCCAGCATGTAATAAGTGCAGAGTCTCACATAAATTGTGTTCAGTACTTGAGGTGGTAGTAAAACCTGCAATAGTTGTTGCAAATTTCTGCATATGTGGTCTATTTATATACATGCAAAAAATGTGAAGTGACTCCATAGCTGGCTGAAAGTACAAAAAAACCCTTCCATTGTCTTATATTCAGACTTGTAAATGTAGCAGCTATGTGAAAACAAGTAGATAAAAATGTTGGGTTAGATTCAGGCCTACAAGGAGCTGGAGAATACAGAGTCAGGAACATACTGGAGTGAACAAATACAGGCTGTCTCTGCCTCTGCACACACAGTATGGAATCATCACTTTTCCTATTAACACACATGTGGGTGCCAGTATCCCCAAACTACTGACAAACTAAGTTTGGGAACTCTCATATAATTGTGGTCCATATTAACAGTGTGCATAGTATTTAATCTCTGAGCCTATTTAGCATCAGATCCCATCCAATGAGTCCTGTAATGCCCATCAATATTACATTACACTAAGAAGACTCAAACATGTAATTTTCCAATCTGAAATCAGAAGCAGCATCTGTCTATATTATCCAAGTCAGCAAACAAATTTCAGAGTTGCATGGAAAAGCCCAGGTAGATAGTGAAAGCCACAGTCATGCTCACTCAGAGAAACTATTGAGAAATCAGTTGAAATTAATTACGCCATACTTGATGTTCTGCAACAACTACCCCCACACCCGGCAAAATTTGTCGTATGGATCTGGGAGCTGGTACACATGCACAGAGCTGTTATACATTGCTGCTTTTGTGACTAAGAGGCTCCTTGAGCTGACACTTGACATAGTTTTACAGATTTCCAAAAAGACAGTACGTGACTGCTGAACTGGTAGCTATTACATCAACTTCTTTATCCTATAACATGTAAATGGTTGCAGCTTACACTTGATCCACGAGAGATAAACTAGCACAGCACAGAGTGGTCCAGAAAAAAATCTAGTACAAAGATACACTGAAGCATCTTGTTTCTAAAAAAATTTCTTGTTCCAGAGAAGTCCTCTAAGTTCTAAGTAATTTCGTCATACAGGATGCCACCTATGGTTCTTTTGACCACCTTTTCTATGAAAACTAATTTTTGCATGGAGCCTGTCGCATGTGCTGTGAGAACACCTACCAAGTGAGGCTGCTGGGCAAGACTGGACGAGAAACATCTATACTTTACGAGCTGTACAGTCTCATCCAGAAGGAGAACTTACATATAAAACAGATGACCAGCTATGGGTTGTACATGTCTCCAGGGTTAGATGTCAACAGTGCAAAGAGTTTGAGAAGCATGACCTTGGAGTGAAGCATCTACAATTAAGAGCTGCACTTATCTATGTAGCAGACCTGCGTCTCTCTGCCCTGGCTGGTCTGAAGCTGGAACAGCACCTTGCCTTTGTGGAGGTCTTGTGGATGCTCTGCCCTAAAGTGCCTCTGACCTCTGGCAGAGGGCTGACCTACATCCATCTGCTCTCACTCCTCTAGATAGAGCCTGTGCTCCTTCATGGATGTCACGAACCCTCATTCAAGACCCTCTTTTCTGTGACCATGCTGTGCCTTTCCAAACACCTCAAGGAAACTGAATTCATTAAAATTATTTTGTCTCCAGCACAAAACTTAATTGGGAGTCCATAATTCAGGACAAGGGTACACTCTGAAATATCCCTCATCTTTTCTAGAGGCAGTAACTTTTGCAAACTGCAAAATTTTGTTTTGAAGGAAAAAAATCCAGTAATTACTTGTTTGATAAGAACATTAAGATTGCATGTCAGTAAGGAAGAGAAAAAGACCAGGTTTTTCTTTTTTTAGTATATTCTGACTTAATGAAAGTAGTAAGCTGACACATGGATCTTTTTACTCCATGAAATTAATCTTGATATCTTTTGCAAAAGAGAAAAAACAGCACCGATGACATACTTTTGGGTGGTGGCAAACTTTGCTTTCACTCTTAGCTTTGGGTTGCATTTTATGAGTAAACAAAAAAAACCCGAGATGGATGCCATGTTAATTATAATGAGGTGTGAAATTAGGTTTGGTAATAAGCACTGAGAACCTTCTCGTCTAAAACTCGTCTGGATCAATAAGTTGCATTGAAACACTGAACTACATAATATTTCTTTATGCTTCTGTGGAAGTTACTAAAACTCCTACACAGAAGATGCTGCAATGCTGCACAATGAAACTGTAAAACTTGACACAATTGCTACTGCAATTCTGATGTGACCTTCTCATACCCTAAATTCTTTCTGAACAGGGCCGATATTAATCCCTTCAACAGTCACCACATACTTCACTTTTTTATGTATCTCATTTAACCTGCAACTCCTGTAATATATACCCTTCGCATCTTCCAACTTCATGGAATTCAGAACCCCAAGGGCTCTTCTG